GAGAGCAAGGCATCGGCCACCCTCCCGTCGGAGGCATGCTCTCGCGTCTTCGCACCTGCAAGGGGGAGTCACCCCGCAGCTGCTCGGGGAGAGCAGGTCCGTCCGTCGACGGCCTTGCAGAGTGAGGCGACCCCGCGCTGACACGCCAACGCGGGTAGGTCCTGGTCGGTACGTTGTGTTGTTTGGACTCGTCAGAGCGTGGAGTCTGCTCTGCTGATGTGTACCGAGGCGCTGACCTCCAAGTAGTACGCGACCTCGGACAGCTGCTGCTCTCTCGGCTCGGGCACTCGTTGGCGGAGCCCAAGTCCTGCTCTTCAGGATGTTCCGCTCCAGGGGGCGGAGTGCTATCTGGCCGTGCTTCGTCCTCGCAGATGCTGCTGTCCGCAAGCGCCTCGAAGGAGTTCTTGATCAGCGGCACTCCGAAGTCTGTTCGCATCTCCACCTTGAGCGCCTGTCTTAGTAATCTTTTGCGCCTCGCCACTCTTCTTTCTCTTGCAGCAGCTGTGGCGTCGTTGAGGTGCGGTTCTGCTGATGTAGGGCTGTAGCTTTTGCTGTCAAGGTATGTGTCCTGTATTTGCTCTAGCTCGTAGGCTTGTATGGGTCCATGCTGTATCTGTCGATTGTAGTCAGTGCTTGGTTGTGTCGTGGTAACTGCATTTAATTTGGCTGACGCTGGTGGACTAGCCAGCCCTCTAGGGGTCTTTGTGCTTGCCATGTGGTCTGCTTGCGAGCCCAGGTGGCTGGAGTCGAGAGGTTGGCGGGCAAGCCAGGCTCCGTCGACTGCAAGCGAGGGGTGCTCCTCGAGTACCCGGCGCTGGGAGACCTCCAGATGTAATAGATCTGGTAGTCTCGACCTGCTGCCTGGGTCCTCCTTCGCATGGCTGTGCTGCCTGGGCTGCGACGCCGCATGGGCCGCCGCGGCTCCCGCGAAGTGGGATGTCGAACCAGGCGTGGCCAAGGGGTGTCGCCTTGGTCCACGCTGTTGGCACTGCGTCGGACTGCTCGAGTAGCTCTCCCACTCTTGTTGCAGTCTCACCCTGTCGCGGTGCTGGTTGCTTGTCTGAACCCCGCTGGCAGTGGGGCTCGCGGCCTGAGGGAGTCGCTCAGGTCCGCGCTTGGAGCGCTCTGACTTGATGTCGCCGTTCTGTGGGTGGTCCCCACCCTTGCCCACAGACGCGGCGTCTAGGGAGCTGGTAGTGCAGGTAGTTCGTCTGCTACGTCTCTTGTGTCGGGGCTCCCTAGTAGAGCGTTGGTGGTTTGAAGCGGATGCGGCATCCCCCAGGCTCGCATCGGCTTGGGCATAGCTATGTAGTGTGATGGAGGCTAGGTGCGATCGTGTGCGTATGGCCGAAGGCCATGGGTGTGGGTCGTTGGGCGTAGGCTCGTCACCGCACGGGTCTCTGAGTCTGGGCCCGATATCCCCGATACCTTCTGGTGTAGTTGTCTGGACGCAGGTCTGGGCCAGTTGCCCCCCAGCCTGCGTGCTCCGTATCAGTTTTTTGACAGTCGACCCCCGTCGAGGTCGCTCTCGCCGCTCTCGATGAAGGATGCCACTCTGTCACCTGGGTCCGCGAAGCCATCGTCCGCGTCGCAGATCCTGACCTTTTTCGGCTGGCTCCTCGCCCTCCTGGGTTCCCTTGGTTGCTTCAAGTTGCCTCTGCATGGAGGTGCCGAGCTCGTCCTCTCTGGCGTGCCCAAGTGGAAACGCGGTGGTGGCAGCCGTGGCTCGTGTGGCTCGGTGGGCGTGATATCCTCAATCGGCATCCGTGGAGGTGTGCTGGGGCAATCCTCCTCGTCGCGGCTGAGGTCGATGAACAGCGTCGTCATGGGGGTCTTGGCTGGCTGTGAACGCTGTTGTGGGGTCTTGTTTGGCCTGAGAGGCGTGACGGGCGGAAAAAGTATGTGTCTTGGCGTGGGTTGTTCCGTCGGGATGGGTGAGTCGGCTGGTATCGTTGGTGAGAGTGAGGCGAGGTCTGTCGGGGCTTCGCCCTCCTTCTCCGTGCGCAGGCCTTGGCGGTTCTTCATCTCTTCGTCCAGCAAGTCAGCGTCGTCGGATTCGCCAATTGGGATGCAATCGCTGCTCGCCCGTACCTCGAGTATCCCTGAGTGCGAAAAGGAGCCGACAATGTTGTACTCCTCGATGTGCGGGCGCTGCTGAGGTGGTGGTGGGGGGAGCGGCCACTCTGCGGATGTCCTCGGCACAAAGCTTTGGTTCTGGAAGCTGAGGTCGTCGCTCGACGAGGGGGTAGGCTCCTCTGGCGTTGGCATAGACGATGTATGGGACCCCTCTCCAAATCCCACCTCGGCCAGCTCCTCGAGGTACGGCGGCAGTTCTGGATGTGGAAGTCCGTACTGGCTAGGTAGCAGCCGAAGTAGGTCTGCCTCAAGTTGCTCCCTCTGGTACGCGCCCTCCTGGTCCGCCATGCCTTGGTCGCGCTCACTCGTGGCTGTGTCTCCCATGAGGTCATCCGTCATGTCGATTAGCAGGTCTTCATCAACTTGTCCTCCTGCTCCCCAGGCATCCCGTAGTGCAGTCTGGAGTCCTGCCGTTTGCAAATCATGTGCCCGTTGGAGTTCTTGTAATTGCTGCTGCCTCTGTGCTTCGTTCATATGATGGTTGTGGGCGTAGTGCTGCACGATGGCCTGCATCTCCTGCTGGCACTGGTGCTGCAGTGTGCTGTGGTACTGATGCGCCGCCTGGTTCTCCATCTCCTGCTGCTGCTGTAGTGCCTGGAGTTCGCTTGTGGCTGCTGCTTGTCGCTGCAGCGCCACCTCCTCCATCCTTTGGGCTTTGTCCACCTCCTCCTGGTGCTCGCCGACGCGCTCCAGATACCTTTCCTGCTCGTGCTGCATCTCGTATGCCTTCGCCTGGATGGCTGCGTGCTCCAGGTTCAGGACGACCCGCATCGCTTCGCGCTTGTTGGCTTCATCCTGATGCTCGTGGGCCATCTGCTGGTAGTTCACTGCGATCCGCAGCTCCTCCTCCTTATAAGCGCTGTGGCGGGCGCATCTCTCCTGGTACTCCGCCTCCGCCATCTCCTGCATCGCCTTCTCGTTGTGCTCCTGCGCCATCTTGTACCACTGGGCCTCCTGGGTTGCCATCTCTCTCACAACTTGCTCTTCCTGCCTGGCCTTCTGGACCTGCTGCGTGTAGATGGCTGCTCTTCTCTGGTCTTCCTTGTGCATCTCCTCGCGCAAGGTCTTCTTTTCCAACTCGATATGCATTTGCAGGTCTGCGAGCATCCCTTTGGCCCTTTCCTCCTGTGTCCTCTGGGTGCCTCTTTGTGCTTCGTATGCTTTTGCTTCCTCCTCCTCTAGCTTGGCGTTGTGGTGCCGCTTGAGTGCGTTGACCTCCCATGTGTGCCACTCCTCCTGCTTGGCCAACTGCGCTTCGGTCGTGTGGTACATCTTCTGCGCGATGGTCTGCTCGTAGGCCTTCAGCTCGCTTTTGTGCTTGAACTCTGCTCGTGCTAGTAGGTCGCTTTGCTGCTGTTCTTTTTTCTGCTGCGAATCAAGCCTCTCGGTCAATCTCCTGATGGCATCTTTGATCTCGTCTGATGCTGCTGGGACTGGTCGGGGCTGCTGGGCTGGGGCTGGCAGAGCTGTGGCTGGTTGGGCCATGGCCGGTGCCGCTGGAGCTGCCGCAGGGTCGCGCCTTCTCCTCGCGGCCGGGTGTGGCGTGCGTCCTCTGGTGGGATCATGGCTCCCGTCATCCTCGGACGATTCGTCCTTTACTCCCGCCGCCTTGGCCATTTGATCCCTGGTCTCCCTCATCAGGGTTTTGTAGACCCTGATGGTTCTGGCGGCCGCCGCCTCCTGGTCCAGCATCTTGCTGAGCCGCTTCTCCATCTCGGCATGCTCCTCCTCCAGCTTTTCCAGCGTGGCCCTGAGCTGCTTCATGCGTTCTTTGTGGGGCAGAACGAAGGAGATGTTCGTGGCGGTGATCGCCGCTTCCTGCTCAAGGCTGGTTGTGCACAAGCCGGCCAGCCTGGCACCTGCGATGTTCTCGGTGAGACGCCCCAGCCTGTGGCACTTGGTCTTGTACCACACGAACCTCATCTCTTCGTCATCTGGAGGTGCGGACCAGCTCTCGTGCTCCATCGCGACGGCGAATGAGACTGGCGTGATGCTGTCCAGGACTGCCTTCTGCTGGGGGCTGTACTGGTAGCTGCCGATGTGGGCTGCGGCAGGCTTGTCAAGCTGGTCCCTTCTTCTGCGCCTGCCGCTTCTCCTTCTGGCTGAGGCGCTCCTCCAGGGCGCTCTGAGCTTCCAGTGCTGGTCGCTGTCGCTTTGCTGCTGGTGCTTGTGGGTCTGTGGCTGCTGCTGCTGCTGCTGGTGGCGCTTGTGGGTCTGTGGCTGCTGCTGCTGCTGCTGCTGGCTATGCTGCTGCCACTCCCAGGGCCACCAATGGCTCCGTAGTCGCCAGTCCAGTCTGCGCTGCGCTGGCGCTGCGCCTGGGCTGTGGACCCTGCTCCTGTCCACCTTTTCCCAGGGCCGCGCCGCGACGCCTCGAGGTGTGTGGTCCCTGCTCCTGACCACCTTTCCCTCGAGGCGTCGCGCTGCTGCTTCCAGTTCTGCTCCATGGCGTGCTGCTGGTGGCGTTGGGGCTGCTGCGCGCTGTGGTGGTTCCCCAGGAGGTCCTGCGCTGCTGCGAGGCGTAGCAGCACCCGAGTTTGTGCACGACGCTCACGTGCTCTTCGGTGCCAGGCGCCCTCCTTGGGCGTGGTTGCGGCTGGTCGCGGCCTCCGCGGCCGCTGTCCTGCGGCTCGGGCGGCGCGCCTGAGCCCTGGCCGTTGGGGGGAGGCCGCCGCGGCGGCGAGGGGGCGACGACGGTGCCCCTGCGCGGCGGCGGGCGGGCGCGGCGGCCCCCCACTCCTCAGCCAGTGGCTTCCTCCTCCTCCTCCTCCTCCTCCTCCTCCTCCTCCTCCTCCTCCTCCTCCTCCTCCTCCTGGGGGCGGTTCCACGATGCTCCGCCTCGTCGCCCCCGCTGCCGCCCGCAGGCGGTGGTGGCGCCTGCCGCGCCCAGGCCCCCCGCGGCTGCGACGCCGCACGCATCGGCGGGCTGCGCCGCGCCGCCGCGCGAGAGCGCGCCGGCGGCTCAGGCGCGCGCCGGGCTGTCGCCGCGGCCCTGGCCTGGGGGCGACGAAAGGGGGGGGGAGGAGAGAGGAGGAGGAGGGGGAGGAGGAGGAGGAGGAGGAGGAGGAGGAGGAGGAGGAGGAGGAGGAGGAGGAGGATAGGCATGCGGTAGGTTCACGCGGCGATGGCGCGCCTGCGACGATGGCGAAGGCGTTCAAGGCTGAAACCCGCACGATGGAGCGTGGACCCGACAGGATTCAACCTTGAACGATCGGGGCTGCGATCGGTTCAAGGTTGAACGATCGAGGCGGCGTCAAAAACTTACCGTAGAGGGGGATGCATCGACCCCAAATCGCCCACTAATCGCCGATATAGGGGCCCGATAGCCCCAACCTGCCCAGGAACGTGCTGATGTACTCTCGGGGGCCCATCGCCGACCTATCGGCGATGTATCGCCAATTCCTGGTCGATGTGTTCCCCCCTGTATGCCAGACCCCCCTGATCGTTGCCCCTCAGCTTGCGGTCGGGAACTTTGGCTCGGCGGCCGCTGCGGCGGCCCCAGCGAGACACGCCCCGGCGTGTCGCTCCGCTCCGCAGGGCAGAAGATTGGGAGCAGCTCGGAACGGTGACGCTCGGGAATTGGGACGCGGATGGCGAGGCACGCAGCCAGGTCTGGCCCAACACGCCTCGGCGCGACACGTCCTCCACGTCCCCCTTCCCAGGCGTCGGCGCCCCGAGCCGTTCGCAGCACCCGCGGAGCGCAGCGACGCGCCATCCGCTCGCAGGGCGCAGCGCGTCGCCCCAGGCCGCCGCAGCGACTCGCGGAGCCAAAGTTCCCGACCGTGAGTCGCTGACCCTGATCTTCGGCGAGTCGAGCTTCTCTCAGTCCCAGCGGTGTTTCTTGATTTCGGCCCAGGCTCGTTTGTGGGTCCTGGTGCCATCAAAGATACATCAGGAAGGAAGAGCTGCCCCCAGGGAAGGGATCGGGAGTTCTGGTGCAGCGGGGTGGAACAACAGATCGAAGGATGTTTGGAATTCGAGGTGGAGATCATACTGATACCGATGCCCTTCTCTGGTGTTCGCCTTTCTGGGCATCGTGGGGGGGGGGGCTCGTCACCACGGCTGGATGTGTCTTGGAATCGTGATCAGAACGTACCCCGAGACTATACCAAATGATGTGAGATGGGCAAGCCGTGCTCTCGTCAGGTGAAGCGTTATCTAAATCGATTGGAGTTCGGTTTAAGCCGACGCTGAGCAGCGCCATCATGTTCCGACCACTACCTGGGACAGGTCGACGCTCGGCCCTCATCCTACTCGTCCTTCTAATGCGTTGCTTCTCGATTGCGCTTGTTCCGATTCCGATGATCCGCTCTCTTCTCGATTGTTCTTGTTCCGATTCCGATGATCCTTCCTCCCTCCTCCCCTCCCTGGTCGTCATGCTCCTCGCCCTCCTCTACCCCCCGCCTCCGATTTCTCTCTCTCTCTCTCTTGTTCTCTTTCTCTCTCTTGCACTGCCACGTCCGTAGTGCCTGCGGCCCGCCGTGTCTGTACCACCTCCAGCCTCATCCTCCACCCTCCCCACCCAATCCTCATCCGCCCTCTTCTCATCCGCTCCCTCCTTCTGCTCCTCCTCCTCCCCAGAGGTCCTCGGACGCCTCCGGAGGCCCAAAGGAAGCAAAACGTGCAAAGTGATCGGTTTTCCTCTTCCTCCTCATAATCATAACCACCTCCTCATCATTAGCCTCCTCACCCTCACCAGCATCTCCATCACCACCACCACCACCACAATCAGCATCATCATCATCATCATCATCATCATCATCATCATCATCATCATCATCATCATCATCATCATCATCATCATCATCATAATCATCATCATCATCATCATCATCATCATCTTCATCATCATCGGCAGCATCTTCATCGTCATCGTCATCATCATCATCATCATCATCGTCATCGTCATCGTCATCGTCATCATCAGCAGCAGCATATCAGCATCATCAGCACTATCAGCATCATCAGCAGCATCATCACCAGCATCACCATGCGTACCATTTTCGACATCATGATCAGCATCATCAGCATGGTTATCCTCCTCGTCATCATCATCCTCATAAGCAGCATCATCATCATCATCATCATCATCATCATCATCATCAACATAATCACCATAATCATCATCATCATCATCATCATCATCCTAATCATCATCATCATCATCATCATCATCATTAACAGCATCATCATCAGCAGCATCAGCAGCACCATCATCATCACCATCAGCATCATTGTCGTCACTGTCAACGTTATTTTCATCGATATGGTGATCCGCATGATCCTCAGCAGCAGCTATATCATCAATATCATCATTATCGACAACAACTTCCGCAGCATCTTCGCCATCACCATCATGACCACCAGCATCATCATCATCATCATCATCATCATCATCATCATCGTCATCATCATAATCATCATCACAAGTCTCGACGCTTCGCGTATCCCCACCAGCCCATCCAGAAACGATGTCCAGGCGAGTTGAGGTGATCAGAGAAGTGCGGGAGCAAAGAGGGGGACGGCCGAACCGAGCGAAGGAGGGAGGAGAAGAAGGAGGAGGCTGAATGGATGGATGAGGGAGTGGGGAGAAGGAGGATGAATAGGATGAGGAGGAGGAGGAGGAGGAAGGAGGAGCAGGAGGAGTAGGGCCAGCAAAAGGGCCAGAGGTCTCTTGGATGCCTCTCGGAGCCCTTTGAGATATCTCTTGGGCGCTTCTTGGTGGCCTCTTGGGACGTCTTGGGGGTCTCTTGGCGGTCCTGGGGGGGCTCTTGGGCGTCTTGGGTGCCTCGGGGGGGGCCTCTTAGGGCCGCTAGGGGTCCTCTTGGGGGCCTCCTGGGGGCCTCGTGGGGGCCTCTTGGGGCCATCTTGGGCCCATCTTGGGGCCGCTTGGGGCCTCATGGGCGCTTCTTGAGGCCATCTTGGAGGACATCGATCAAAGAAGGGGGGTTCCTTAATTTCGGTTGCCCCCCCGAGTGGCCAAAATGGGGCCAAAATGTTGGTAAAACCAGTGATGTTAGCTTCCTCGCCGAGGCCGTTTTGGACGCCCTGACCGCTCGCGACCGGCCCCGTCCAGGTCGAGGGGAGGGGGTAAGGGGAGGGGTGCCCTCCCAACACATAACTAACACCAGACCAAAGGACCAAATATTTGAACCTGTCAACAACCAATGCAAAGGTCCCGACGGGACAATCGTAGTCCGGCCAGCTACGGCGTCTTGGAGCTTCTTGGAGGCCTCTTGGGCCGTCTTGGGGCCATCTTGGGCGTCTTGGAGCGCTCTTGGGCCGTCTTGGAGGCCTCTTGGGCCCTCTTGGGCGCTTCTTTGGGCCATCTTGGTTTGTCTTGGGGCCCTGTGGCCTCTGGAAAATCCACGCGACCGAGCCCAAGAGCGCCCAGATGCTCCGATGTGGAGGCAGAGTGTGTGTTTGTATTGTTGTTTTGGCAGGGATGGTTGTGGGGAGTGCCCTCATGGTGTGCGCATGGTTCTGGGTTGGCTGCCGGCCGGGTGGGGGAGGGAGTGTTTATTAATAGGGAACAGTGATCAAGACACGCCCTAGATAGCAAGCCGCCTAGCTCACTTCCACTCGCCCTCCCAACACATAAGTAACACCCGAGCCTCAGCATATTCAGCGGTCGTCTTTGGATGGACAGCTACTGGGAACCAAAGCCGACCCCATGTGCGCGACGTTGGGGCAAGGTGCGCCACGCGTGCTAGGCGCGCCACGCGCGCCAGGCACCTCTGGGGCCCGAGCGTGGGAGGCACGCCTGGTGCGCCAGATGTGCCACGTACTCCGCGTGCGCCAGGTGTGCCGCATACTCCAGCCGCGCCAGGTGCGCCACGTTCGGGGCACGTGCAGAGCGTGTCAGGTGCGCCTGCGCAGGTGACAGCACACATCGGGAAACATGTCGGCCCCCACCACCCTTGTCGAAAAGCAATGCCCATCATTGTGTCTGGTGGGCCTGCGCACAGCAGGCCATACGCCACTACCCTCGCCGTCCCTTTCAAAAAACCACTTGAGAGTGATCGCGGGGTGGCCGCGCATGATCCAGATTTTGCCGCGAGGTTGATTTTGCAGTGTTTTGTTTGCCAGGAATGGTGGCCCCGCGCACAGCAGGCAATATGCTGACACCCCCGCCGTCTTTGTCAAAACAATACAAAGCGCTCGCGGGCCTCACGAACATGATTCAACTCTTCGCGCCAAAGCGTACTTGTATTGTTTTTTGACAGGGATGGCGGGGGAGGGCCGCATCGGGTTGGCCGCGCATGCTCCAAATGTGGAGGCAGGGTGCGTTTTGCATTGTTCTTTTGACAGGGATGGTGAGGGGGGGCCCTCATGGTGTTCCTGGTTGGCTGCCGGTCGCATGGAGGAGGGTGTGTATATTAATAGGAAGCAGTGATAAACCCTTCCCCGAAGGGGAAGAAGGGGGTTGGAAGAGGAAACACTCTAGACCACCTTACGCCCTAAAGAGCTGGTGGGATCATCATCATCAGCAGCAGCATCATCATCGTCATCATCATCAGCATCCTTATCATCATCATCAGCAGCAGCATCATCACCACCATCATCAGCAGCAGCATCACCATCGCCACCATCACAGAGCCTCGCTCCTCGCAGATCCCCTCGTCGATCCTCGTCCATCCTTCGACCGACTCCGGGGCGGCCCGGTCGGCGGCGCCCGCGCGGGCGCCGGCGCCTGCCCCCCCAGCCGGAGGTGGCCTCCGCGCAGGCCCTTGCCCAGCCGAGGCCGACGCCCGACTTCGGGGCGGCCGTCGTGCGCCGCCGCCGCCGCCGTCGCGGGCGCCGCCGCGGATTCCCTCGCGCGTCGATGTCTGTAGTCCGTCGTCGCGCGTCGTGAGTCGTCGTCCTTGTCCGTCGTTTGTCGTCCTCGGCTTCGCCGTTGCCCTTCTCCCTCCCCCCCGCCTCCTTCCTCGCCCCTTCCCCCCCTCCCCCTCCTCCCCCCCTCCTCCTGCCCTCCTCCTCCTCCTCCTCCTCCTCCTCCTCCTCCTCATCCTCATCCTCATCCTCATCCTCATCCTCATCCTCCTCCTCCTCCTCCTCCTCATCCTCCTCCTCATCCTCATCTCTCCTGCTCCCCCTTGCCTTCCCCGTCCGCCTCCCCCGTGGCAAACCAAAATTACCCCGGCGAACCACCCGGCCATTTGCAGGCGTAACCACCACAGGGCAGCCGGGACAGAGGAAGGGGAGCTCCCTATGGACCACGGAACGTGTGAGGGGTGTACAAAAGTGGAGGCGGGTACCGCTTGCGAGCCTTGCTAATGAAGGCCTTCGGTGGAGCTCCCTACGGGGCCACGAAACGCGTGAGGGGTGTGCCCAAATGGAGGTGGGTGTCACATGCGAGCCCTGCAACCAGAGGCCTTCGGTGGAGCTCCTTGTACGACCACGGAGCGAGTGAGGGGTGTGCCGAAATGGAGGCGGGCACCGCACGCGAGCCCTGCCACCAGGGCCTTAGTCAGAGCTCCCTGAGGGCCACGAAACGTGTGAGGAGTGTGCCGAAATGGGCGTGTAGAGGGGAGAGGCAGGGATGGGAGGAGGGAGGATGGGAGGAGGAAGAAGGAGTGAGACGCGGGGACCCAACACCACAGGATGGCTGGGAAGGAGAAACCACTCCCTGGCAGGGGGGTGGGTGGGGGCGGCCTCGAAGAGGGGGGCGAAGCCTCCGTGAGCAGAGCGCCTGCGGCGTGGTGGGGCGTCTGGGCCGCAGTGGCTGGGCCGAGGGGCTCCACGAGGTATCCGCGCTGGCTCGAAGATGTGTCCCTCGGCGTGCTGCCCCAGCGCTTCTTGTGGAGGCTGCTGGCGGCGAGTCGGGCGTCCGCTCGCTTTGGCCCTCGAGGCGGCGGTTTTGTGTCTCCAGGTGCGGCCGTGGCTCAGAGAGGACGCGGAGCACGCGCCGTAGACCTGCAACCGGCATGGTTTGGGTTGTCGCACCGGTGTTTGTGGTCGACGAGGAGGAGGAGGAGGAGGAGGAGGAGGAGGAGGAGGAGGAGGAGGAGGAGGAGGAGGCGCAGCGGTAATAGTAGGCGCCAGCAGCAGCAAGAGCAAGGTGGTAAGGGCAGGAGCGGGGGCGGGAAGGAGGAAGGAGCCGCCCGCACCGGGTCCCCCTACCGAGCCGAGGCAAGCGGTGCGAGCGTCTGATGTTGCCAGCCTGGCCCAGCCCGCCCCCCAGCCGAGGCCAGCGGCACAAGTCGTCAAGCCTCCCGCTGAGAGGCCACAGCTGGCGGCGCAGGGTGTCCAGACTACCGCTGAGCCGCGAGCCAGCCCAGTCCAGCCTGCTCCCCAGCCAAGTGCGGTGTCGCAAACCGTCCCGCCGCCTGCCGGGCCGCGGGCCAGCTTTGCCCAGCCCGCTCCCCAGCCGAGGCCAGTTGCATCAACCATCCCGCCGCCTGCCGGGCCGCCGGCCAACCCCGCCCGGCCCGCTCCCCAGCCGAGGCCAGTGGCGCAAGCCGTCCTGCCTCCTCCCGGGCCGCGGACCAGCCCCGTCCAGCCTACTCCCCAGCCGAGGCCAGTGGCGCACACCATCCCGCCTCCTGGTGACCCACCGGCTGGCCCAGGCCATCATGCTCCGCATCCAGGGCCACCAGCGGAAGCCGCCCGGCCAGGCGCTGAGCAGCGGGGCAGCCCCGTCCAGCCGCCTCCCCAGCCACGGTCTTTGGCGCAGGCTCTTTCCGATTTTGACGCTCTTTTATGTTGTCTCCGAGACGTTGGTCAGAGACTTGCTACAACCAAGGGAGAGACAAAGAGGACTCGAAGATTGTATGGCTCATTTCTCGGGATTGCGGATCAAGTTGTGACTCGGGTAATGGTTGAGGGTAGGGCTCCGAGAATGGATCGGGATCTAGAGTTGACGGTCTGCAACGCGTGCGCCGCCAAGTGGAATTAATGATTGGAGCGCATGGCAGATTTCGTGGGAGGCCGAGGCAGTTCAGAGTCCTTTGCGAGTGCAGTGGTAGAGCGAGAGAGAGAGAGAGAGAGAGCGAGAGAGCGAGGGGGGGAGAGAGTGAGAGAAGCAGATATTGTAGATGGTGGGAGAACGGGGGAGGAAAGAGGGAGATTGGGAGAAAGAGAGAGAAGGGAAAGTAGGGAGTGGACGGGAGACAATGGCATGTACACAGAGAGAAAAGGTCCCGATAACGAGAGACAAGGATGCATATACACCACAAGTATATCACACATATATATATATAGAGAGAGAACAGATATCTATAGAGAGGTTGAGTAAGAGGAGTATTTGGGGAGAAAAAAAAGGGTCCGAACATATTGACCGCAGGCTTCCTTGTGAAATACAGAAGAGGCGCCACCTGATCAGCAATGGCTTCTGTCTCGCCTCGAACCACGGTACCGGACGCCCAACAGGGATCGTTTTTGAGACCCTCTTCCGAATCCGTGAGTGTCCGCGCAACTCGCAGCACACTCATCATTGCAACTTGCGTGGAAGCCGATGCGTTGTTCCTTTCTTCGTGCAGAGCCCATTTATCTTGGGCATGCCGCCTCACAGAAAACTCGCGCCGAGCGCACAGGGTCCTGGCAACCATGCCCACGCCCGAAGCGTGGCCGGCAAGGGAAGGGACTAGGCGTGTGAGGCTGAGAGATCAAGAACACGACGAGGAGGCCCAGACCCCCGAGGTCGTGACCCTTTCGCAAGACCTGGAGATCTCGGCCGCTTCCCAGCCAGACCGGCGTCTTGCCCCGAGTCGTTTCTAATGGGCCCCTCGGGGCTGGTGAGGGCCCCCCGAGGCCGCAAGTGGCCAAGAATAGGAGAACGAACAATGACATAAACATAAAAACTCGGAGGTCCGCGCGCATTTCTCGGATCGGCGCTGGACCCCCCTCCCTGGCGCGCGGAGCGAGCCAGGGGCGTCGCCGGAGGCGCCGCCAGGGGGCCCCAGCGCCGATGGAGAAATCCGCGCGGACCTCCGAGTTGTTTGTGCCTATGTCATTGCTTATTTAATCGCTTCGCTCATTCCGCCGGCCCATACAGTCTCATGTCTGCTGTTTGCCCGAGGGCCTGGTGTCAATGCGGCGCTTTGGGGGTTCCTGGGGCCGCTTGGGGGACTCCTGGGGCGCTCGGGGGGGCATTTGGGGGGCCTCCTGGGGCCGCTTGGGGGACTCTTGGGGGCCTCCTGAGGGCCTCGTGGGGGCCTCTTGGGGCCTCTTAGGGGCCTCTTGGGGCCTCGTGGGGGCTTCTTAGGGCCGAGGGCTCGAAATGTTGTTTCGTGTTCCCTCTCTGGGGCCCCTTTGGGGGCGTTCTTGGGGCCCTCTTGGACCGTCTTGGAGGCTTCTTGGGCCGTCTTCGAGCCCTCTTGGGCCATCTTGGGGCCCTCTTGGGGGCCTCTTGGGCCCTCTTGGGGCGATCTTGGGGGCCTCTTGGGCCGTCTTGGGGCGTCGGGAAGCCGAAAAGGTGGAAGCTCCAAAATCTCTCAAAAACCTACGGAAAAGCTATGAATTTTGCTTCTTGGGGCCCTTTTGGGAGTGCTCTTGGAGGCCTCTTGGGGCGTCTGGGGGCCATCTTGGGCGTCTTGGAACGATCATGTGGCATCTCGGAACCCTTGTGTACCATCTTGGGAGCCTCTTGGGGGCATCTGGACCCGTCTTGAGGGTTTCGGGGACGTCTCGGAGCCCTGTTGGTGCGCTCCTGGAGCACTCCTGGAGCGCTCTGGGGGAGTCTCCCGGGGATCGCTCGGGGGTCGGTCGGGGATCGCCCGGGGTACTTTTCGTCCGGGGACCCCCAGGGGCCGCCCCGCGCGCGCGAACTAGAGATACTGTTGACCAGTTACCGGAGACCTTAGCACGCCTCCGGCCCGTGGGGCCGGCGAGTTCCCCCAGGTGGGGCCCCCTGAGGCCGAAAGTTGCCAAGACTTTCCCGTCCAGCTGTTGCGTCGCTGCGCGAGGGGATCTGGCTGTCGGGTCCTATACGTGCCGCGGGCCTCCGGCGGCCCTTCTCGCGAGGGCGGCGCGGGCCCCCCCGGAAGCGCCGGAGCGCTCCCGACACGAGGCGCATGCCGCGGAGAGCCTCCCCCCGAGGCGAGAGGAGGCCGCCGGGAGCTCGGGGAAGCTCGGGCCGGGCGAAAGGGGGGATTGGGAAAGGGGGGGGTACGAAATCTGCTGCGTGCAGCTGGTTTCGGCCCCACCGCGAGGGGCCCATTCCTCGATACATAGCCGCCTCCGGCGCCGGGAGGCGCCGGGAAAATCAGCTACGTGAGCTGATTCTCAAACCCCCCTTTGCTATCCCCCCCTTTCGCCCAGCCCGAGGAACGTCCGCAGGCCGCCGAGGACGTCGCCGAAAGTCTGGGCTCCCCCGGCGGCGCCGCCCCGGGCGCGCTCCACGGGCCAGGGAGGGGGCCCAGCGCAGATCCAAGAAATCCGCGCGGAGCGCCACAAGTTCATGCCTGTGCCGTTGTTTCTCCTGCGAACCAGCGTCCGGCAGCAGTGGTGTCAGGTCAGTGGCGGGCCCTGGTGCCATCGGAGCGGCTGGCCGCTTTGTGACCACGTGCCCTTGAATGCGCGGTGCTCGGGTAGCTCACTAGGTCTGGGCGAGTAGGCGTGAGGATGCGCGCCTTCTACTGTCTGGTCGGGGGGGGGGGGGGCCGAATGTGCACCTGCGTTCCCCGATCCTGGCGTGGCCCGATCCTGGGCCCTGGGCCGGTGCGATACTTACGCAGCACGAGAGATTTTCCTCTTGAGGTGCAAATGGCGATGATGAGTTGGAAGGTGATGACCGAACCCCCTTCCCCCGCATAATCTTAACACGGGCGGGTTCTGGGGTCCGCGGATCCGATGTCTTCGAGCTCCCTGCTTAAATTTAATAACTTGAATCTAAGCGGGGTAAAAATCGGATCGTAAAAAATATGACCGAACACGGATCCAGCAAATCAGAAATCCGATCCGCGCGGACGGAAATCGGATCCACCGAAGCAGACGCCAAAGCCACAATTGAACCCGCGCGAACTTCACGGGATCCGACGGCGGTTATCTCATGCGCGTCTGCTCTAGACCTCAAGCCGTCGTTCCAGGACCAAGAGGGAAAGCTATCGTCATGGGGATGTATCATGCGCCCTCCTGGCTTGGGCGCGAACGCATGCTCACCAGTGCTGGCCAGGCCCGATCCTGGGCCCTGGATCGGTGCGCCCTCCTGGCTCCGGCGCGGCAGCATGCACACGGGTCCTGGGCCCGGGATGAGCCTGCCCGAGGCGAGGAGGCCCCCAGGAGCGAGCGAAGACGTCCCAGGGCCGCCCGTCGCCGAGCGTGTCGCCGAAGGTGTCGGTTCCCCCCCCCTTCTCTTTGGAAGAGGCCCCCCCGACATGTGCCGGCACGAGTTGTCCTGCGCGCGGCCTCCGAGGAGGCACACCACCCCCTGCCCAGGGCCAGCGTTTCGCCCCAGATCCATGCTGAGTGGCCGTGGGGGCCGAAATCAAGGAAGCACGTCAGGACGGGAGTGAGAAAAACCACCTCGTCCGAGATCTGGGAGGATCGACTCCTGGAGGTCTCGGCCCGTTCCCCAGGAGTCGTTCGTTGTCAGTCCCAGGGCCGCAGATCCCGAACATGTTGTTTCGTTTGGAAGAAAAACCGTACAAAGGACCGAATCATACGCATGCAGTTGCGAGTGCCGCAAGACAGGTGGAAACTAGGGCAGGGGGCTAGCAAAATGACTAAGGCGCGCGTGAGAAGGACGGAGCGACGTTGCTGATCGGGTCGCAAGGATCAGCCGAGGGTTACATCTGGATGTAGACCGTCACGGCTGATCTGAGCGTCCGACGACCCAGCCTTGGGGAGCAGCAGGGCGCGAGGCTTTTGGTAGAGCCCCCTATGGGCCACGAAACGTGCGAGGGGTGTGCCGAAGTGGGCGCGGTCACGCATGCGATGCCCGCCAATGGGGCCTTCGGCGTAGCCGCTTATGGGCCACGAAACCTTGCGAGAGGTATGCCGAAGTGGGCACGGTCACGCATGCGATTCTTGCCATTGGGGCTTTAGGTGGAGCTCCCTATGGGGCCACGAACCGTGTGACGGGTGTGCCGAACTGGTCTGGAGAAAGCATGCGAACGTAGCCATTGGGGCCTTAGGCGAAGCCCCCTATGGGGCCAAGAAGCGTTTGAGGGGGCGTGCTGGAATGGGCACAGTCACGCATACGACTCTGTCCAATGGGGCTTTAGGTGGAGCTCCCTATGCGACCACACGTAAAGGATGTGCCGAAATGGCGGCGCTCACGCGTACGACTTCTGCAACTGAAGCATTCGGTGGAGCTCTCTATTGGGCCACGCGACGTGTCAGGGGTGCACTACAATAGTCTGGAGAAAACATGCGAACGCAGCCATTGGGACCTCAGATGTGGGCCACGAAACGAGTGAGGGGTATGGTACGCCAAAGTGTGGTGCGGAGGGCATGCGGGCACAGCCACTTGGGTCATAAGTGGAGCTCCCCATGGGTCCACGAAGCGTGTGAGAGGTGTGCCAAAGTGGGCTGGTGGCGGCATGCGGGCGCAACCACTGAAGCTTTCCATGGAGCCACGAAACGTGTGATGAGTGCGCCAAAGTGGGGTGGTGGCGGCATGCGGGCGCAACGGTGTTGGCGGCATGCGGGCGCAACCATTGGGGTTTTAGGTGGAGCTCCGAATGGGGCAACGAAACTTATGAGGGGTGCGCCACAGAGGGGCGGTGGCGGCATGCGGGCGCAGACAGTGGCGCCCTCGGTGGACCCCCTTGTGGGGCCGCGAAGCGTGTGAGTGGTGCGCGAAAGCGGGGTGGTGGCGGCATGCGGGTGCATCGATTGAAGCTTTAGGTGGCGCTCCTTATGGGGCCACGAAGCGTGTGAGGGGTGCGCCAAAGCGGTGACGGCACGCGCGAGGGGTGCCGCAGTGGGGCGGTGGCGGTTCCCTATGGGGCCACGAAGCGTGTGATGGGGTGCCAAAAGTTGGGTGCTGGCGGCATGCGGGCACAACCATTGGGGCCCTACGTCGGTGGAGCTCCCTATGGGGCCACAGAACGTTCGAGGGGTGCACCACGGTGGAGCGGTGGCGCCATGCGGGCGCAACCATTGGTGCCTTAGGTGGAGCTTCCCATGGGGCCACGAAACGTGCGATGGGTGCGCCACAGTGGGGTGGCGGCGGCATGCGGGCGCAAGCAGTGGTGCCCTGAGTGGAGCACCACATGGAGGCCAGGAAGCGTGTCAGGGGTGTGTCAACGTTGGGCGGTGGCAGCATGCTGGCGCAACCAGTAGGGGAGGAGGGCGAGGAGGAAGAAAGGGGGGAGCCTGGCGCTGCTGATTCAACCAGGTGATCGTTGTGTCAACATGTCCGTCGCGTTTGTGCTCGCGACGCCCAGGTGCCAGCCCCGCCCCCTCCCGCAACGCCCCTGGGCGCCGCTGTGCTTGCGGCCCCGCCGCGGCCCACGGCGTTGGGCACCGCCTTGCCAGCAGCTCGGCAGTCATGTTTCTCCTCATGCTTCTGGGCCCTTCCTCCTCCTCCTCCTCCTCCTCCTCCTCCTCCTCCTCCTCCTCCTCCTCCGTAGCCATTAAGGCTCAAGACGGCAAATTTGGCCCGCGGTTCAAGCGAGCCTAGGCATGTTTTGATTAGTTGTTATTTTGTCTTGTGTTCGATTGAAATCAGACGTGCTCCTCGTTATGGACGTTGTGAGTGGGCATGTTTCTTATTTGTCTGGCCGTGCGATGCGTCCGTCTCCTGGCGGATTATGCAGATCGCCATTTTAATGGGTTGCAGATGGCTGCTCACGCCCATCGCTCTGCTCTTTCTAATTCCACGCGAAGACGCTTGAAACACATCGGCATCGCTTACGAGTTTACCAGGCACCACACCACGCAGTGGGAAGATGAGTTCATGGCTGCTTTGGAAACTGAACTGCAGGCTGCTTACCCTCTTCGTTCTATTGTGTCACGCACACGAGCTCCTCGTTACTGCCGTGCTCATATTCGGGAAGCTCATCAGTTCAACCGTCACGCTCAAGAGTTCCAGCCAGCGGCCGCACCTCTGGTTTCTGTTCCGGAGTTGCTATCGGTGTCACAACAAGTGTACGATGGTCAACTAGCTTCTTACCAAGAGCTTGTCTCCGCACAGAACGAGTCGATTGCTAAATTGTCTGGAGTCCTCGAGCGCCATGCCAATGCATCTGCTGGGTGCTTCACCAACGATATTGGCCAGGAGCTTACCTCTGCTGGTGATAGTAGCATTGACGCCAAGATTTCTTCCGCTGTTGATGAAGCTGTGTCTGCGCTTGGACTCACCAGTGTAATCAACGACGCGTGCAATGGTATTGTCAGCACTATTGGGCCCACGATTGCTGAAAAAATTGTCCCCAGTATCGTGCAGATGATTATGCCTGGTCTTGACAAACAGTTCTCCCAAAGTTTGGATATGCTCGCTGTGCATGGGAAACAGATTGCAGAGAACACCGCGCCCCCCCATCCGCAGCTGGCCACTGTTACTGAGCATTCTAACCTTTTGCGTGCTGAAATCCAAAAGATATCGGCCCGCGTCGAGAGTTTGGAGTCGATATGCCGCGATCTTTTTGATGTCCAGACACAGGTTCAAGTGTTGCGCGAGCGGCTTGACAAGATGCCCGAATTGGTGCCTGCACCTCCGATGGCGTCCTCTAGCTTTGCTGCCTCGGCCTCGTCTAAAAGAAGCGCCGCACCTTCAGCAGTGGCGCGGTCTACATTCTGCAGATACGGAAAGACGTGCCATCGCTCGGATTGCATATGTATTCATCCCGTTGGCCGAGATGTGCCGGAGGCGAGGCATGGATGCGATCCTCATCCTCCTCCTGCTCCTCCTCCTCCTCCTCCTTCTCCTCCTCCTCCTCTTCCTACTCAACTCCCTCCTTCCTCCTCATCAACAGCATCATCAGCAGCAGCATCAGCATTACCATCATCATCATCATCAGCAGCAGCAGCATCAGCATCAGCATCATCATCGTCATCGTCAGCAGCAGTACCAGCATCATCAGCATCATCAGCATCATCAGCAGCAGCGCCATCATCACCGGCGTCAGCATCAGCATCATCATCGTCGTCATCATCACCATCATTTCATCAGCAGCATCATCATTTTCATCAGCAGCAGCATCACCAGTATCAGGATCATCATCATCATAGCATTAGCATCACCACGAGTAGCAGCAGCATCCGCATCATCATGATCCTCAGTATTACCAACATCATCATCGTCGTCATCATCAGCATCATCATCGTCATCATAATCTGCATCATCATGATCAGCAGCAGCACCACCATCAGTAACAGCAGCAGCACCACCACAATCATCGTTCTCTTCCTGGCGTGCCGCAGCCCCCTCCTGTCCCCCTCCTCATCTCCCTCGTCCTCCTCCTCCTCCTCCTCCTCCTCCCCTCATCCTCATCCTCATCCTCATCGTGCGGCCTGGCACGGCCATCAGGAGGCGCTGGGGCGTAGAGCTTCCCGAGAAAAATCCTCTTCCGCCTTCTCCTCCTTCTCCGCCACCTCCTCCTCCTCCTCTTCCTCCTCCTCCTGCCCCTCGTTCTCCTCCTCCTCCTCCTCCTCCTCCTCCTCCTCCTCCTCGCTCTCGCTCCTCCTCCTCCTCCTCCTCCTCCTCCTCCTCCTCCTCCTCCTCCTCCTCCTCCTCCTCCTCCTCCTCCTCTTCCTCCTCCTCTCCTCCTCCTCCTCCTCCTCCTCCTCCTCCTCCTCCTCCTCCTCCTCCTCCTCCTCCTCCTCCTCCTCCTCCTCCTCCCCCTCCCCCCTCCCCCTCACCCTGCCATTCTTCCTTCTCCTTCTCCTCCTCGTCCTCCTCCTCCTCCTCCGCCTCCTCCTCCGCCTCCTCCTCCTCCGCCCCTCCTACCTGCAGAGGCACGAAGATGATCGCGCTGCGCGCTCGGCGGCCTGCACTGGCGAGCTGCGCGTCTGCAGGGGGGCGGCGCGGGGGCGCGAGGAGAGCCGCGGCCTGCGCGGTGCCGGGCGCGAAGTTGGGTGCGCCCCGGCGCTTGGATCCGTGCCCTCCGTCGCTGGTGGCCTTGAGACCTCGCGATGTGGCCGCCATGATGAGATTGCGGCCTTACCAGGGAGAGGGCAGAGCGACGCACGCGACCTCTCTCCTTCCCCCAACGCCGCGCCGCAGCCTCCCCTCTCCTTCCTCCTCCCAGGCTCAAGCATAGAGTCCTCCAAGGCAGCGCGGCCCCTCTGGCGCGCGTAACGTTTGTTATTTGGGCCACAAGCACACATCTTCTCTTCCTCTTCGGTTTGGCACTGCCATCAGGAGGCGCTGGGACGAAGAGTCCCCCGAAAATCCTCCTCCTCCTCCTCCTCCTCCTCCTTCTCCTCCTTCTCCTCCTCCTCCTCCTCCCGTGGGTAACGTTAGCGGTCGTGCTTGGGTCGCGGGCCTGTTGTTCGCGCGCGCATTGCAGCGATCGCAGCGCCCGCCCGCCCCGACGTGCCCCACCCCGCCCAAGCGGTACGGTTACCCGCCCCCCGTCCCTCCCGGGCAACGACCAGTACCCGGAACGATAAACAATAATTTGGCGATGGACCCAAGCATATGCAGCTGCGAGCACCGCAAGACAGGTGGAAACGAAGGGAGGGGGCTAGCAAAAGGATTCAGGCGTGCGCGAGGAGGACGGAACCACGTTGCTGATGGGGTCGCATGGGGTCAACCGCATGTGGTTGCACTTGGATGTAATCCTTCACGGCTGATCTGAGCGCCTATCGGCCCGACCCCGGAGCGCAGCAGTGCGCCAATTTGGGGGGCAGCAGGCGGCAGGGCCCTCTTGGTGGGGCTCATCTGGGGCCACGAAGCGTGCGAGGGGTGTGCCGAAACGGGCGCGGTCACGCATGCCCTTCCTGCCAACGGGGCATTCGGCGGAACTCCCTAGGGAACAGCGAAACATGCAGGGGGTGTGCCGAAACAGGCGCGGTCACGCATGCGATTCCCGCCACTGGTGCCTTCGGCGGAGCTCCTTGTGATGCCACGAAACGTGCGAAGGGTGTACCAAAATGGGCACGGTCACGCATGCGATTCCTGCCACTGAAATTGGTGGAGTGCCCTGTGGGGCCACGCGTGAGGGGCGTACCGAAATGGGCGCGGTCACGCATGCGATTCTTGCCACTGCGGCCTTCGGTGGAGCTCCGCATTGGGCCGCGAAGCGCGCGAGGGGTGTGCCGAAGTGGTCTGGATCATGCATGCGAGCGCAGCCATCGGGGCCTCCTTGTCGGAGCTCCCGACCGGTGCCACGAAACGCGTGAAGGGTGTGCCGATGTGGGCTCGGCCACGCGTGCGATACGTGCCAAAGACGTGCTGTGGAGCTCCCTACGGGGCCAGGTATGAGGGGCGTCCCGAAGTTGGGGCGGTCGCGCATGCCATTCCTGCCACGGGAGTCTTCCGAGGCGCGCCTTCTCGGGCCATGAAAAGTATGAGCGGTGCGCCGAGATGGTTCGGAGCAGACGTGCGAACGCAGCAATTGGGGCCCCAGTGGAGCTCCATTTGGGGGGCACGGAACGTGTGGGGGTTGTGCCAAAGTGGGGCGGTGGCGGCATACGGGCGCAACCATTGGGGCCCTACGTGGAGCTCCCTATGGGGGCACGAAACGTGTGAGGGGTGCGCCAGGGTGGTGTGGTGGTGGCATACGGGCGCAACCATTGGCGCATGAGGTGGAGCTCCATTGGGGGCCACGTATCGTGTGAGGAGTGCGCCAAGGTGGGGTGGCAGCGACATGTGGGCGCAACCATTGGGGCCTGAGATGGAGTTGCTTCTTCAGCCACGAAATGTGTGAGGGGTGTGCCAAAGTGGGGTGGTGGCGGCATGCGGGCGCAACCCTTGGGGCCTCAGGGGGAGCCCTCCATGCGGCCACGAAACGTGGCGACATAAGGTCGCAACCACTGCGGCCGTAGGTGGGGCCACCTATGGTGCCACGCAACCTGTCACGGTTATGTCAAAGTGGGGTGTTTGCAGCATGTTGGCGCAACCAGTGGCATTTTAGGTGGAGTTCCATATAGGGCCACGAAACGTGTGAGGGGTGCGCCAAAGTGGGGCGGTGGCGGCATGCGGTCGCAACCATTGGGGCTTTGGGTGGAGCTCCACATGGGGCCGCGAAGTGTGCGAGAGGCGTGCCAAAGTGGGGTGGTGGCGGCATGCGGGAGCAACGATTGGAGCTTTAGAGGGGCGCCCTATGAAGCCACGAAACGTGTGAGGGGTGTTCCGACATGGTGACGTGGCGGCACGCGGGAGCATCCACTGGGGCCTTGCGTGGAGCTCCATATGGAGCTCCATATGGAGCCACGGTGAGTGAACGAGGGCGTGTGCGGGGTGCGCCAAAGTGGGGTGGTGGCGGCTGGCGGGCGCAAACGTTGGTGCATTCGGTGGAGCTCCCTATGGGGTCACGAAATGCGTGAGAGGTGGCATTCGGAGAGCTGGTGATGATGATGATGCTGCTGA